TTTTGTATGGACTTAAGTTTATTTCTCTGGGATGCCTAGAAGTGAGATTACCAAGTCATATGGCAAACATGCTTGATTTTTAAGGCAACTGTCAAACTGTCCAGAGTGGCTATATCATTTTATATTCCCTACTGTGAATGTGTATATGTCTTCATCTGTGAAATAACTCTTTATGTCCATTGCCCATTTTCAATTGTTTTTTTGCTGTTGCATTTTGAGAGTTCTTTATGTATTATAGTTATGAATCCTTTGTCAGATGTGTGGCTTGCAAATATTTTTCTCCCATCTTTTCATCCTTTCACAGTCTTTCTGCAGAGCAAAAATTTTAAAATTTGTGAAGTCAAATTCATCAAGATTTTTCTTTTATGGATTGCTTTTGGTATCATGTCTAAGAAATCCTCACGAAGTCCTAAGTTCTTAAGATTTTCTCCTAATGTGTTATTCTAAAGGTTTTATAGTTTTATGTTTTACATTAAAGTTTTCCACTTTGAATTAATTTTTATGTAAAATACGAAGGTCAGGTTAAGATTCCTTTTTTTTTTTTTTTTTTTGCCTTTATATATCTGGATATCTAGTTGTTCCAGCACAATTTGTTGAAAAGTCTGTTTTTATTCCATTGAATTGCTTCCGTACCTTAATCAAAAATCTGTTTGGCTTACTTGTGTATTTCTGGGTTCTGTTTTTTTATTTTTTCCACTCATCTGTGTGACAGTCCTTCCCCCGTTACCACAGTCTCAGTGACTATCTCTAGAAATTATAAAATTGAGCATAGAGATTCTTCTCAGTTCTTTTTCAAAATTGATTTAGCCATTCTAGTTCCTTTGCCTTTCAATGTAAAATCTTTGAATAATCTTTTTTGAGACAGGGTTTTGCTCTTGTTGCTCAGGCTGGACTGCAATGGCATGATCTTAGCTCACTGCAACCTCTGCCTCCTGGGTTTAGGCAATTTTCCTGCCTCAGCCTCCCTAGTAGCTGGAATTATAGGTGCCTGCCACCACGCCCAGCTAAGTTTTGTATTTTTAGTAGAGACGGGGTTTCGCCATGTTGGCTAGGCTGGTCTCCAAACTCCTGGCCTCTGGTGATCCACCTGCCTTGGCTTCCCAAAGTGCTGGGATTACAGACATCATCCACCGTGCCCAGCCATAATCTTGTCTGTATCTGTAAAAAACATCTTGCTGGGATTTTGATAGGCATACATTAGCCTCTATAGGTCAATTTATAGAGAATTGACATCTTTACTATCTTGAGTCTATGAACACATTATATCTCTCTAGGAATTTAAGTCTTCTTCAGTTTATCTTACCGGCATTTTATATTTGTTAGCATAAATATGCTATTGTGTTTCTGTCAATCAGTTGACTCTACCTACGGGTCTCTTTCAGGTTCTCTATTCTGTTTTATTCAACTAGGTGTCTATCCCTTGGTCAGTAACACACATTCCTGATTACTGTAGCTTATATAATAAGCTTATTTTATAAATAAAGCTTATTTAATGTCTGTAAATTGAGTAGCGTGATTCCTCCACTGTATTCTTCTTTTACAATAGTGATTTAGCTGTTACAGTGCATTCGCATTTCTACATAAATATTAAAACAATCCTACATCCACAAAAAAGTGTTGCTGGGACTATATTAGGAGTTTTTTTTTATAAAAAATCTATAGATCACGTTAAGGAGAATTGGCATGTTTACTGCATTGAGTATCCTAATCCACATTTCTTTGGTTATTTAGAACTTCTCTGATTTCCTTCATCAGCATTTTATAGTTTTCAGCATACAAATCTTCTGTATGTTTTGTTAGGTTTACACCTATTTCATTTTGCTTAGAACCATTTGATTTCCATATAGTTATAGGGCTGTTCAGATTATCCCTTTAATACTGGGTAAGTCGGTAGTTTCTGCTTTTAAAGGAATTGGTCAGCCCCCATCAATTTGATTTCACACCCAAGTTGTCAAGTTTGTGTGTGCATGTTCTTTTTTTTTTAAAGATGGGGCTTCACCATGATGGCCAGGCTGGTCTTGAACTCCTAACCTCAGGTGATCCACCCACCTCGGCCTCCCAAAGTGCTAGGATTACAGGCGTGAGCCACCGCACCCAGTGTGTACATGTTCTTAAGTATCTCTTTTTTTTTTTTTGAGACGGAGTTTCGCTTTTGTTACCCAGGCTGGAGTGCAATGGCGCAATCTCAGCTCACCGCAACCTCCGCCTCCTGGGTTCAGGCAATCCTCCTGCCTCAGCCTCCTGAGTAGCTGGGACTACAGACACGCGCCACCATGCCCAGCTAATTTTTTGTAGTTTTAGTAGAGACGGGGTTTCACCATGTTGACCAGGATGGTCTCGATCTCTTGACCTCGTGATCCACCCGCCTCGGCCTCCCAAAGTGCTGGGATTACAGGCTTGAGCCACCGTGCCCGGCCAAGTATCTCTTATTCTTTTTAATCTCTGCATGGTTGGTGGTATCATGAAATGAAAAAATGGTATCCCCTTTTTCGTTCCTCATTTTGGCAAATTTTGTCTTCTTTTTCTTTGTCAATCATGCAGGGAGGTTTGTTAATTTTTTGACCTTTTCAAATAACCAGCTTTTTGTTTCATTGACTTTTCTCTATTTTTAAGCTGTCAATTTCATTGACTTCTGCACTTAGAATTTTCTACCTCCATTGACACCAGGAGAGAGCTTCCTCCTTACTGGTGAATGAGGGTAGAAGTTTAGGCTCCTTATCAGGTCTTTATTGCCTACCTCTCTGACTGGGAAGGGCATGAATGCCTATTCACTGCTTCCTATGTATTCTCCACTGATACTTTGGGGAGTGGGGCCCTGGCTTCTCTGACACCACTGAACAGTGGGTAGTTGGGGCACCTAGTTTCAGCTAGGCCTTTTACTGGGCCTTTGCTGGAGAAAAAGAGGGGGATGTGTTTTTCTGTAATGTTTGGCTAAAGTAGAACCCTTATTTTCTAAAATCTTTCTGCCCCTTTCCTGTTTCTTTGGGCAGAGAGAGCAAGCCTTTGTGGGCTTTTTTTGTTTACCCCTCTTGGTGTTTCTGGGTTACTGGCTTTATGAGCACCCATTTTGGAATATGTGAGACAAAAAGAAAACCCAGTAAACTTACCACTCTGTGTATCCTTGGGTCCTGAATTGGCAGTCTCTACCTTTCACAGTCGTCTTGTTTTATATAGAATGTCTAGAGTTCTTAGCTGTGTGTAGCTGAAGGCATAATGAAAATTAAAGACAGAATATTGCTCTATTGCCCAGGCTAGAATGCAATGGTGCAATCTCTGCTCACTGCAACCTCCACCTCCTGGGTTCAAGCGATTCTCCTGCCTCAGCCTCCTGAGTAGCTGGGATTACAGTTGTGCACCACCACACCCAGCTAATTTTTGTATTTTTAGTAGAGACAGGGTTTCACCATGTTGATCAGTCTGGTCTCGAACTCCTGACCTTGTGATCCGCCTGTCTGGGCCTCCCAAAGTGCTGGGATTATAGGCATGAGCCACCACACCTGGCCTTTGAAAGTTTTATAGTTGTTTATCTATTCAAAATAGTAATTTTTTTGAATCAGATAAAGTAGGGATCTAATTTCATTTCCCCCCCCAATAGTTGTTCCAGCAGCATGAAAAGTTCATCCCTTTTCCCACTGATTTCTAGTGAGACATCTGATCTATATAAAGTATATGTTTATGTAAGCCTTATAAATATCACACCATTTTAATTGTTATAGCTTTATAGTAGGTTTTGTTATTTGGTAGGCATGTCCCCACAAGCTTGTCAAAATTCTATTGAAATCTCTGTTGGGATTGTTACTAGAGCTGCATTGAATCTATAGATATGTTTGTGGGAGCATTGTCGTCTTTACCATCATGAACATGCTTTCTTCATGATTTAGATATTTTTTAATATTTTTAATTATAGCTGAATATTTTTCTGCACAATGACCTTCACAGTCTTTTGAAATTTATTTCTAAGTACGTAATATATTTTTGTTGCTATTGTAAAACTTTTTTAAATTAAATTTTTATTTGTTTCTATATACAAATGAAATTGGCCTTTGGATTACTTTGTATTTGTTCTTATGCATTTCATTAAAAAATATATCTGGGAACCTTATTGCAGTCTTCCTTAGTATAAATTATACAGCATGAAGTTTATATTAGAGTTTTAATTCATTTGGTATTTTTTATTGTTTACCAAGCACTATGAAAGACTATTCTTTTTTGTTCGAAGGAATAATATTTGCATTTGTTAAAAGGAAATGGTATTTCATAATCTCTGCGGAGATTTCAAACAAAAGGAACATGTCTCTTTTCTGCTTCCAGAAATCCTAATTTTGTAAGTCTAGAGAAAACCTTAGCTCCTTTTTTTTTTTTTTTTTTTTTGAGGCAGAGTCTCGATCTGTAGCCCAGGCTAGAGTGCATTGGTGCAATCTCTGCTCACTGCAACCTCCGCTTCCCGGGTCCTGGTTCAAGCAATTCTCCTGCCTCAACCTCCTGAGTAGCTGGGATCACAGGTGCACACCACCATGCCCGGCTAACTTTTGTATTTTTAGTAGAGACGGGGTTTCACCAGCCAGGCTGGTCTTGAACTCCTGATCTTGTGATCCGCCCGCCTCAGTGTCCCAAAGTGCTGGGATTACAGGCATAAATCACCGCACCCGGCCATCTCCTTGTTCTTTTAAAAATCTCCCATGTGGTTCTGTACATTTCTGTTTGAAAACCACTGCTAGAGAAGTTGCTAAATAGTAAAAGCATTTAGCCCATGGTGATATGGGGAAGGGAGGCATTTCATTTAAAATTTTGAAGAATTTATGCATCGTTTAATATTTCATGTGTGATGTATAGATAAAATTAGTATATTTACATAAACAATTGTCTTTTATTAAGTGACAGCAGGTATGAATTTAAAAAGAATGGACATTGAAAAAGAACAGTTACAGTTTGAATGACATACTGGTTGAGTACTCAGTATATTTGCATTAAAATTTAGGATATAATTTTGTCTTTCCCAGTTGGAGTCATTCGATGCCCAGTTTGCAGCCAAGAATGTGCAGAGAGACACATCATAGATAACTTTTTTGTGAAGGACACTACTGAGGTTCCCAGCAGTACAGTAGAAAAGTCAAATCAGGTAAGTATGTTACATCTTGAACCTTTTGCCAACTTTTTAAAAATTGAGATTGGGTCTTGCTTTGTCACCCAGGCTGGAGTGCAGCGGTGTGACCTCTGCTTCCTGGGTTTAAGTGATTCTCTCATCTCAGCCTTGTGAGTATCTGGGATTACAGGCATGCGCCACGACACCCAGCTAATTTTTGCATTTTTACTAGAGATGGGGTTTCACGATGTTGGCCAGGCTGGTCTTGAACTCCTGACCTCGAGTGATCCACCCGCCTTGGCCTCCCAAAGTGCTGGGATTACAGTTGTGAGTCACCATGCCTGGCCTCTTCTGTCAACTATTGATGGGGTAACATAAAATGCTGGAGGTCTCTAAAGTAAAAGGAATCAAACATTAGATAGTTCATCTATAAAATTATGTATTATTTTGAAAGGTATATGAAGAATAATGAATAATTCACCTTAAGAAATAAAACAGTGACAGTACAGAAGCTCTTGATTGCGTTACCCACATTCCAGTCTCCAGAGAAACTATTGTTTTATATTTGATATTATTTCATTTCTTTGTACTTTTACTAGGCATTGACAATTAGATTTTTTTTTTTTTTTTTTGGAGACGGAGTTTCACTCATGTTACCCAGGCTAGAGTGCAATGGCGCGATCTCGGCTCACCGCAACCTCCGCCTCCTGGGTTCAGGCAATTCTCCTGCCTCAGCCTCCTGAGTCGCTGGGATTACAGGCACGCACCACCATGCCCAGCTAATTTTTTTTGTATTTTTAGTAGAGACGGGGTTTCACCATGTTGACCAGGATGGTCTCGATCTCTTGACCTCGTGATCCACCCGCCCCGGCCTCCCAAAGTGCTGGGATTACAGGCTTGAGCCACCGCGCCCGGCCGACAATTAGATTTTTATTTAAAGCTCAGTTCTCACTTTTTTTCTATTTTAATAATAAGCTCTATAATGATACATATGAAAGACACCATGTCTTCGATCAGTAGGGTTTTTACATTTTTAAGAAAGCCTTCTTTTCTACATGGTATTACTTTGAAAGCTTCATTTGTGTTTTGGGGTTTGTTGTTGTTGTCGTTGTTGTTTGTTTTCTCATTGTTGTAGAGACAGGGTCTCACTCTGTTGCCCAGTCTGAAGTGCAGTGATGTAGTCATAGCTCACTGCATTCTTCAACTCCTGGGCTCCAGTGATTCTCACACCTTAGCTTCTTGAGTCACTGGAACTACAAACTCATGCTGCCGTGCCCAGCTAACTAATGCCTCATTTGGTAGCATTGTCCAAGGTTTTGGATTTAGAGATCCAGTGGTGTTTTTCTCTTCTTTCTGACTTCTATAACCCATATATAGAACATTTCTGTTGGCTTCTTAAATCTAGATGTCAGATCTATCATGCATAATCTATATAGTGCTCCAGTGGGGATTAGCCATGTTGAGATTAATTCTACAGCTTGTGCTAAGTATAGTGTATTAGTCTGCTTTTGGATCATGATTCATTGATGATTCCTCTAGGCAGTTCCCTTAATTTGGAATGGAAGATCTGGGAAAGAACTAAATCTGGTTAGGAAAAAATGATTATTAGCTATGTTTATCAGGACTCTTTAGTAATCACGTGGTTAATTGCTGTACTTTTTGTTGAATTTTCAGTTTAATGTTCATGGGGAGAACTGAATGAATTTAAGGTTCACTTTGAATGAACATAGCCACTACTGACCAAAATACATCTTTTTGTAGTTTGGAAAGTATCCACAATTCTTCCTGATTTGAACCTTATCAAAGGCCAAAACAGAGCTTGCAGCAGGAGATAAACTTTCTAATTGTGTAATTGTGAAACCACCCTTAAAGAAAGAAACATAATTATTTATGTGGGCTACAGTGTTGAGCACTTAAGTCCTCTGAAAGTTCTCTTTTGAATACAAATGATTTTGTTTCTGTCTTCCATTGTGTCATGTCACTTTGCTTTACATGTGATTGTAGCTATACTATTCATTAGATTCATAGTAGTACATGTGCATGCTTAATCCAGAAAACTCAAAAATACAGTAGCATAAGTAATCCTCAAATGTAAAGTAGCATAAATAAATGTCAACCAGATAGAATATTTATATGACATGAAATGATAACAGGACATGAGAGTTAAAGGGATTCTAATCCAAAGGACAAGTTTAAGAGGCTGCTTTATACCTCCATATGATCAATTAGTTGTCAGTACATTTATGTTTATTTCGTCTGCTTCTGTCACAGAAACATAGTAGGAAGAAGTTAAACTAGAGATGGAGTCCAATATACATACTATATATTGATACTGGGCGTGCATGGGTTTGGGGTATGAAATGTGGTATGAGAATAGGGTGCTGCTGGAGGCATTTGGTGAGGATGGCGACTGGAAAGGTTATATGGAGGATGAATTGGAACCAAGAGGTACTTAGCAAGAGGTAGTGAGAGCTGAATTAGCATGGTAACAATAAGGAAAGGAAGTTATCACCCACAGAGAACTTGATAATCCTGACTGGGTGTGGAAGCTCAGAGATGTTTTACTGCCTGGATGGTGCCTTTCACAGAGATCATGATAAAGAGGGTGGGAGGTAGGTCGAGGTAATACATCAGTTTTGGATGTGATTGAGTTTGCATTGCCTATGAGATTGTAAAGCAGAGCTGTCATCCATGGTTAGAGTGGAGCTCTGAAGAGAGTTCATAGCTGGAGATTTTGAAAAGTTTTAAAACTTCTATCTTTGTTGTAGATAATTTCAAGCATTACCAAAGAAACAATTGATATAACAAACTCCCATAGACCCATCACTTAAATCAATAGTCATCAACTCTTGTTTTGTGCATACCCTGATACTACATCCCCAGCCACTAGTTTACATTGACGTTATTCCAACCATTAATATAATTTCATCTCTAACTTTTTTTTTTTTTTTTTTCTTTTCCGAGATGCGAGTTTTGCTCTTGTTGCCCAGGCTGGAGTGCAATGGCGAGGTCTTGGGCTCACTGCAAACTCTGCGTCCTGGGTTCAAGTGATTCTCTTGCCTCAGCCTCCTGAGTAGCTGGGTTTACAGGCTCCCACCACCACACCTGGCTAATTTTTGTATTTTTAGTAGAGACAGGGTTTCACCATGTTGCCCAAACTGGTCACGAACTCCTGACCTCAGGTGATCCAGCCACCTCAGCCTCCCAAAGTGCTGGGATTACAGGTGTGAGCCACCGTGCCCAGCCTCAACTGTAAATATTTTGGTATGTACTTCAATAAAATACTTTTTTTCTGTAAACATAACCACCATATCAATTTCCTATATAAAAAATAAAAGAACCAGCCTGGGCAACATGGTGAAACCTTGTCTGAATGAATGAATGGATGGGATGAATGGATGAATAAACAAGAAAGAAAAGCAAGCATATAGGCGTGGTGCTGTGCACCTGTAGTCCCAGCTAGTTAGGAGATGAGGTTGGAGGATCACCTGTGCTCAAGGAGATGGAGGCTGCAGCGAGACTTAATCATGCCACTGCACTCCAGCCTGAGTGACAGTGAGACCCTATCTCAAAAAAAAAAAAAAAATTTTTTTTTTAAAAATGCTCAGTGATCTCTTAATATTACCAAATATCTAAGCAGTAATCAAATGGCTCTAATTATTATAGGTTTTTTTTTTTTTTTTTTAAAAACAATGGTTTGTTTCTGTAAGAATCTAACAAGGCCTACACAGTACATTTGGTTGATTTGTCTCAAACCTTTGCTTCTCTTGCTTTTCTTTTCTTCCTATTTAACATTTTTGTTGCATAAACTGGGTTGCATGTTCAATAGAGTTAGCTTTATTCTGAATTTTGCTGTTAATTTCCATAAAGTCATATAACATGCTGATTCTATATTTTGTGAAATTTTGAATAAAAATACAGTGGCTTGTTTAGATTCTGGTTCCATTAGAGGAAAAGGGTAAGACTACTTTGATCTGTATGTCCACATCAGGAGGCATATGGTATCTGGGTTTGTCTTTTTTTTTTCTGATGTTAATGGCCATTGATGATCACTGCCAAGATCCCATATGTTTCATTAGGGTTTTGAAAAATAGTGACATTTTTATTCTATTATTCCTCTTTATTTCTTAACTGGAATAGAAATGAAAAGCTTCCTTCAATTTTTTGATTACTCTGAACTATAGTTCATCCAGGAAAGGTAAGTTCAATTTTGATTCCTTCTCTCTAGTTGCCAATTTTTAGAGCAGTGAGTTAATTTCTTAGCATTCTTCAGAAGGTGACTAATTGGGGGCAGTGCGGGGAGAGAGAGAGATTGTATGTGTAAGTGTGTGTGTAAGTGTGTGTGTATCCCTCTGTTTGAGTCTGCAGTAGTCATTACTATCTCCCTTGCTTTTTTTTCTGACATTTTCTGTTCTAGACCTTGAAGCAGCCATTTCTCCTAGGTGCTTTGATTCCTTTTTGTGGGAAATGACATTTGGAGACCACAGTATGGTATGGTGGGTGCTCATCATCACTGAGTTGATCACCTACCTAGGCCTTCAGGGCCTAACAGACTTTATTTATAAAAGAAAATATAAGTATATATTGATATTTTAAAGTCAAATTTGGAATCGTAGAGTTTTGCTTTTTTTGATTTTATATTTGTATCTCTTCTATACTAGAAATGTTGGTTCTTTATTATTTTTTTTCCCCACTCTGTCACCCAGGTTGGAGTGTAGTGGCTTGATCTTGGCTCACTGTAACTTCAGCCTCCCTAGTAGTTGGAATTACAGGTGGCGACCTCCATGCCTGGCTAATTTTTATATTTTTAGTACAGGCGGGTTTTTACCATGTTAGCCAGGCTGGTCTCGAACTCCTAACCACAAATCATCCGCCCTCCTCAGCCTCCCAAAGTGCTGGGATTACAGGTGTGAACCACTGCGCCCAGCAGAAATATTGGTTATTAATTGCACTGATGTAATTTATTTTCTCTAGGAAAAAAAGTTTGTATTTATGTATAATATATATGTAATATGGCCGGGCACAGTGGCTCACGC